GAAATATTTTAAGGGAGCTTGAAAGTGTCCCCTTCTTTTGCCATTAATATTTTGGTGAGGTGGCGAAAGCTCATATGGCTCACCTATGGCTTGGGGATGGCTTCATGACTTGTCCTTGGCTTGACCAATTTGCATGAGAAAGGATTTTTGGATTTTATGGGGTATTTTAATGTTTTTTGTCATGAGGCTTGATATGGTACAATTTTGGCATGAAATGGAAACTTAGGGAATGTTTTTTTATTAAATGGATGATGAGGTGAAAAATTGTCATGTGGGCTTTTAATTGAATCTTGGGCTTTTTGAATGACTTAAGGGCTTGGGATTTTAGAATTGGGGGTGAATTTGGGCTAAATTTTGGGTCAGTTAAATGTTTAATTTGGTGTAGGAAGATGCCATGAAGAGTTTTGAAATGATCTCAAGTGATTTTGAATTGAATTGGAAGGCAAATTTGGGGGGATTTTGACATAGGGTCAACTTGGGGATTTTGGGTTAGGCTACAGCTTAGATATGGCCCAATTAATGTTTCAATTTGGTGTGTGCGATTTTCATGAAGTATTTTGAAAAGAAATTAGGTGGAAGTTTTGGTTTTATGGCTTTCAATTTTGTGACATTTGGGGATATGACCAATTTGGGGTAAAATTGAGGCTTTTTGACTTGGGTGAAATTAAGCTTGAAATTAGGTCCAATTAGGTTTGTATTTGGTATCAATTGGTATTAGTGATGTTGAATTTTGGTTTGGAATTGAAATTGGATAATATTGGGGTGAATTTGTTTGACATTGGGGCTAATTTGGGGAAGTTGGGCCTTTAAGAGCAATTTGGGGCTTTTGGTCAAAATAGGTCAATTTGATCGAATTGAGTCTATAGTAGTGGTTCAAACTGATTTTGGGGACAATTGAGAAGATTTTGGAATTTTGGGAATTTTTGAAAATTTTGGGTCATGAGGGGCAGTTTGGTAATTTTTGGTAATTTTGAGGTACTTTAAGAATTTGGTGATTTTGGTTAATTTGGGTAGTGGGGATGGTTTGAAATGACTTTTGGACAAATTTGGTATTTTGGGAATTTTTGGCAAAAAATAGGGTTGTAGGGGTATTTTGGTAATTTTGATGAAAGTTTGGGCTAAAGTGGGTAGGTAAGCCATGACACCAAGCCATTAAGCCATGACACCATTTCCAAGTCATGAGAACCATATGAGGATTCATTTTGGATGTTCAATATGCTGGTCCTAACCTTCTTAGCCAAGGGCTAGGGATTTGGGTCCCCCCATATGTGCTTTCCAAAAGGAGTCAAGAGACCAAAATAAGTGCAAGTAGTCTTAAGGTTTGGGGTGTGTGAAAAAGTATAGTGTGTGCAAGCTAGGCTAACCAAGACCAGAACACCCAAGTTTAGTCCTAAGGCTTGACCATCCTATGGGGACTCTCCTTGAGCTCCCTCATATTGACCCCACCTACTAAGTGCAAGAGGTTATGACCAATATGTGGAACTTTAAGTTGAGCAAAGAAGAGTTTAGAATTTCTAATGGTGAGAGTTCATTTTCTAGTCCTCTAGGAATAGTCAACAGGAAAGTCCTATGGCTAGACCTTATGCTACTAAAGAGGAAACTAGACCTCAACCAAAAGTGAGGTCAACATATGGATGGATAGACTCGAATCAACATGAAATCAAAATAGCATGAGTGAACCATATTTATAGCAATATAAAGTAGGAAAATTGATCAACTATCAAAGAGGAAAATTTTTTATCAATGGAATAAGATTCCAAAAATTTTCTCAAAAAGCTGCATCATATTCTTATGAGCAAAATTTGTATGTTTGACCTCAGCCATCGAATAATATATCATGTAAAGGAAAATTTCAAAAAAGGCACAAGCTCTCCATAAAATCCAACAACCTTATTTGTATTTTAGCTTCCATCTTAAGTGATAAGATTTCATTTGTCACTGTAAAGATTGAATATTTTAATTCTCTATTAAGAGAAAATTATGACAGGTATATTCAAACCTAATAGTACTCAAAGCTTCTCTCTTTTAAGTATCAGAATTAAGAAAATTATCTTCAATGATAGAGGAATTTGGTATACACTGATGATAAAGTTGATGACATCTCAAACTTATTTCATCTCTCCTTATGTTGTCATAAAAATTTATAGATTAACTAGTAAAAAAATGCTTTTAAGCTCATTGTAAACGTCTACATGGAGGGGTTTAAGACTTCATCTTGGATATTTTAGGTAGTTGGTCTTATTTCATTGAAAACTTTTTTAGATAGTCATGAATTTTAAGAAGGCTTAAACAAAAAATTTAGTGCATTAATGCTTGACAACAATCATAGTTTATAAAAAAGTAAAAGGACTTCATTAATTATTGCAATTATCAAAGCCTCAGCTAAGTTTAATGGCAATCATTAATAAGATGTGAACTAAGAATGGGTTCTAAGGAAACATTTGGTTATGCAAAAAAAAAATTATTTTGTAATTCAATTAGAAGCAGATTGTCGACAATAGATCAAATTAGATTTTATTTGTTTGGGAGATGTTGTACATGATAGTGTTACAGCTGTCTTCTTTGCATAGGGCCAAGTGATTCCAAGCCTTTGCAAAAGGCAAAAGTAACATACCCTTATTTTTGTTTCTTCTAGTATTCCTTAAGGATAATAATGACATCATAGTTATGATTCCTTTCCAGCCATACCTTAAAGTGAAACATTCTTTAATTGTATTCATGAGCATTTTATGGAATGAATAGTAGTGAAATATTATCTATATCAACTAGGGTGTACTTAAGCTCTTCATCAATATTCATTTGCTCTACTTCAACATTAGATTCCATCAAACTTTCCTCATAACACTGCTCTATATGGATAGTATTGAAATTTTTTACTTTTATCTCCACTTCATTTATAGTAATTTTTGGTTCATACTTCTCTATTTCTTGAGATTTTGACACCTTTCTTTGAATGGATGAAGTTGATTAAGAAGAGTTTCTAACCCAACATTATCTATATAAGGAGGCGACACATTAAATTTGGGGCGAAACTTTACTACAAATTGGTTAATCTTCTTTTCAACCTCAACACTTTTTATTTTTTGGAGGGATCATGGATAAAAGAAAGCGCCTCAGCTGATAGGTGTACTTTGGTTTTCTGAAGGGACTAAGGATAAATGGTGGTGCTTCGAATGAAAAGTAATGTATAAGACACACTAATGATAACTGGGAAGAGACCTGCTATTAGGGATTAGTCAAGATATCTAGGGCAAAAGGAGGGCTGGTATTGGTTCTTTCCTCTTTTGCTCATGCACAAATTCTAGCTTGTTCAGTGGGAGAAATTGGTCAAAATAGTTTTTAAATAAGGTAGCAGCATTGCTACATAGTTTGCAACATTGAGGTGCTACCCCAGGTGCAACCAAAACAAGGGAAAGGCATCACGAAGATGAGCTGAAGCGTGACCGCACTTGGTCTAATGTTGTGACCCCCTAGGCAGCTAATATGCATAGCATCGTGATTTCACATCGTTTTTCCAAGCGGGGCTCCTAATCAATGGTTTGAACTCTGAAGAGCTATGTAAGCATGAAAAATGATCGAGAAGGAACTTCAAATTGATTCAAATAATATCTTCACAGGGCTCACATTAAAAATAATGCCAACATAGAGTAAGAGAGAGTTTATCACATCTTTCTTTTGCATCGAAATCTTGAAGCTTTTCAAGAAAAAAAATGTTTAAAGATGTCATTAATGCCTTAGTCTTAATGAATAAAGAATTTCAATCATATGCTCTTTAACCATATTCCTGGAATCAATCATCCTTTCATCTTTAAAAAGGCACCTGATATTCCAAGCCATAATATTTGAAAAATCGGATAAAGTTAAGTGGTCAAAATATCACCTCCTCTCTAACTAGTTTCTTTGTTTTTATACAATAAAGGCATTGAATATTAAGCAAAATGTTCAATATAAGTAGTTGAGGTGTCATTAGTCTCACCATAACTGATAGATTTAGATGTCATTAAACAAGGGATATTAACTAAAGATATTAAGTCTTTTCCTCACTATTCACATAGGTCAATTTATGAAGCAGATGAGAAGAATTATCATCTAGAACTTGATCACTAATATGAATAATAAGGCCATCAATAAAGGATGGAGAGGTGGGCATGGATGATCCATCATCATTGATAATAGCCAAAGGTGGAATATTAAAATCAAACATAATGATAAGTTAACTAATAATAAAGGAAGATAAAAAGATGACTTTAGGCTTACTCAATCCACCATCATATTTTCCTCCACTTTGACTTTGATTTCTTCTCCTATGTAAAAGAACACATATTTGGGTGGATGGGTGGCCACAATTTTCTTTGGGCAATTGAATTATTTGTTTACATTTAATAAAATATGGTATTCGATACAAAACAATTGATTTAACGTGAGTTTAAAGCAAATAGCCATGAGGGCATCAACCACTAAAGGTTGCCCTAACTTAATAGAAATTTTTTATTTTGTCTAGCAACATGAAAGGAGCTTAAGCAACATAATCCAAATAAGAATCTCTTTAAAATTCTTCTAATGTATTACAAAATTAGGATACCAATGCTTAAATTAAATGATCCACCATTAAATAAAATGAAAACTTTGGTAAGGGCTGAAACTACCTTTAAACTTCCAAAGTAATGACTGCAGCAAGTAAACGTAAAAAAGGACATCTCCAATGGCAAAGCCAAAATTCCAAGAAAAAGAGACTTTGCCATCCACACCGGGAGTAAGGCAAAAGAGTAGGAAGAAAACTACTACAAGTGCGGTTAAAAGCTCTTTACAGTTCATTAGAGGAGGGGATCTACCATTAAGAATAGAGGTAGAAGAGGAGGCAAGGAGCTTGGAAAACTCCATGAGAGACGGTGGAGAAATCGGCAGTGAAAAGTTGGTCGCGCGAGGCAATAACAAAAGAAAACTAAGCAGAGCCATCTTCGAAGAGCGAGGCACAGTTCCACAATCCACTCAAATCCATAAAACGAAAAAGCCACCAATAATCTTTCTATACATTGTAGTACAATACACTTGTATTTATGGAAGAAATCAAGAGATATTACCTATCCCGTATCATTTTTAATTTTCATTTTAATTGCATGGTTTGATTAGTTTAGTTCAGCCGTCACCTTGGTTGAAATCAAATACACCCAAAGCAAAACGAGAAGAAAAAAAAATATTACTTTCGAAGTCGGATTCATCGAAGATCATTTTTTTCTCTCTTCCATTCCTTTCGGTGGATCGCAGCGCTGGCAGGACAAAACTTGTTTTTGCCCGGACGCCGAACATAATATTTTTTGCAAAGAAGGGCGTGATCTCAGCTTTTCATGGAAAAAGATCAAACAATGTTAACAAGATCCTCGACTTCAAAAATTGATTTGCTCTTATTACGCCTGATGCTGGTCTTGCTTTGCAGAAGCACATCATAGTCGCGCTCTGAGCCCAGCGTCTCGTCGCTCCTGCCCATTCGATCGCATCGCAGCAGGATCTGCAGCACATCTTTCATGGTAGGACGGGTTGATGGCATCGTCGCAGTGCAGATGATGGCCAATTTGAATACAATTCTTAGCTCATCCAGGTGAACGGGGTCTCTGATTCTTTCATCCACTGCGTCCATCATCTTGTCCCCCTTCTGGAAGTGGCACCTGGCCCACTCAGCAAGGCCTCCATACTCTCCTCCATCGCTCGCTTCCCTGCCAGTGATCAGCTCCAACAGCACTACACCGAAGCTATACACATCCACCTTCTCGTTCACTTTGTTTGCGTTTCCGCACTCTGCAAATTGGAGAATGAAACTTCTTTATCACTCACTTATTTATACAGCATTTGTCCTCTGAAAAATATTTTCTCATTCAAGCACCTACTTACATAACATATCTATATTGCGTTAACTTTAATAATAAATTAAAATTTTAATTAGCTTCATTTTTTAATAAAACAATAAAAAAAACGAATTTAAATTATAATTAGATTAATTGAGACATGACAATTGAGATTACTAAATAGTTTCTAATTTTTTTTTGTCAAAAAATAACCTTTACAAATGACCGTCATATCGCCCATCAATAAGATGTATGACAACATGAGGTCCGGTAGTTGACCGTCGGAAGAAATATTTTTTTTCTGAGAATGGCATGGACACTGCCGTATTGCTAGGATTAACTAAAACAGTTTACTGTTGTTTATATTGAGCATCTATTTTTCATTCGGCTTTCACATTATTTTAGATTTGAAAATAAAACGCTTTGTAGCCAAACATTTTATATAATGTTTTAAATTTTTATTCATGTCTCAGTTTGTTAGCATGCAACGAAGGGGTAATTAAGACATTCTCTCCTCACCTGGAGCCATGTAGCCGAACGAGCCAACAATCATGGAAGTCGATTGCAGCTCTCCGGGTTGGACCATCATCCGAGCCAGCCCAAAATCAGCGATCTTCGGCCTAAGCTGCGAGTCCAGAAGTATATTGCTGGACTTGACGTCGCGGTGCAGGACTGGAGGCGAGCACTCGTGGTGCATGTAGCTCAGCCCCCTCGCCGCCCCGACCGCGATACCCAACCTGGCTGGCCAGTCCAGCTCCCTGTAGCCCCCATGTAGCCAACGGGCCAGGCTTCCGTTTTCCATGTACTCATACACCAGTAGCTTTTCGCATGCACCAGAAACGCAGCACAACAGCCGCAAAACATTGATGTGACGAATCGACCCTAAAATCCTAAGTTCTGCTTCGAACTCCCTCTGGAGCTTCCAATCCATTTTCCTCCCGCTCCACATCTTCTTCACCGCCACGGCGCCTCCGGATCTGAAGCCAACAGCCACGCGGTATACCTTCCCCGAGCCGCCTGTCCCCACGAGATTCTCTTCTCTCAGTCCACGAATAATGCTTTCCTCCGTGAAATCGAGTAATTGGAACGGCGTCATTTTCCAATCTTGGTTGATGTCGGTACTACGCCGTCGGCGACAGTCCCTTGCCACGAAGAAAGCGAATAGGGCGGCTGCAATTAAAACGAGAGCTACAAGGATGGCAATGAGGGTATGAAAGCCACGAGCGTGACCATTTGAGCCTTCCGAAATTAATTTGCAGGGACTGACGTGGAGATCGGAATTGGAGGAGCAGAGACCGGGGTTGGAGATAAAACTTTGGGCGTAAGCTTTGCTCTGCAGCGTAATTGGGATCTCGCCGGAGAGTTCGTTGGAGGACAGATTTAGGAGGTTAAGCCGTAGGCCACCGATCGAAGACGGGATGGCACCCGAGAGTTGGTTATTTGATAGATCTAACGAGGTGAGGACTGGTAAAGTGCCGATCGAGGAAGGAATCTCGCCCACGAGATGGTTGCTGCTGAGATTGAGGTCGGTGAGGAACCGGAGATTGAAGATTTCTGGCGGAATGGAGCCTGATATCTGGTTGCTCCCTAGGGATAAAATTGCAAGCTGGGGCAAACTACTTAAATTGAGAGGAATGGAGCCGAAGAGAAGATTATTGTTCGCATTGAAAACGATAAGATTCTTTGCAGTAGACGGAAGATTGCCAACGAACTGGTTGTTCTGGATCTCGAGCCGCGTCAGATTCCATGGGAGCGCATCCGGTAGAGTGCCAGTGAGAGAGTTATCTCCCATCATCACAGTCGTCAAATTCACAGCTGTTGTCCAGATCCCAGCCGGGAATTCACCGGATAAATTGTTCCGGTAAATCATGATATTGCTCAGCGTGAAGCATTTGCTGAGTGAGGCCGGCAAATTGCCTGAGAAATTGTTATTGAACAGAATAACTGAGACCAGAGCTTTTTGGGCGCAGAGATCAGATGGAATCTCACCGGAGAGCAGGTTGTCGTCCACCTCAACGTTCCACAGTGGTGAGTGCTTTCCAAGTTCCGGAGGAAGGCCACCGGCTAGGATGTTGTTAAAAAGGCGAAGATCGCTGAGTGATGGAAGCAATCCGATACCCGACGGAATCTCGCCGGAAAATCTATTAAAGTACATTAATAGAATAGAGAGTTGCTTCATTCCCCCAAATTCATCCGGTATTCTTCCTGTTAATTGATTTTGGGAAACATCGATGGACTCGATGCTGAGAGCTTTGATGGCCGTTCCGTTGATTCCGCCCGAGAGTTGATTTTTGTACAGAAATAGAAATCGTAATGTTTCAAGAGCCCAAATCCCATCGGGAATTCTCCCGCTCAGGGAGTTAATTGACAAATCGAGCTCCTGTAGCGCAGCCAACTTTCCTAACGATTCCGGAATCTCGCCTCCTAGGTTCGCCTGCCTCATCAACAAACCAGTAAGCCTCGTCAAGTTACCGAACTTTGGCGGAATCGTCGTTGTCGAGGGAAATGGATTGTTTTCTAGCCAGAGCATCTCCAAGGTGGTAAGGTTCCCGATTTCGCTCGGAAGGATGCCGTTGAAAAGGTTGTAAGCAAGGTAGAGATTTTGAATGGAGGGTAGTTGGCCGATGGATGTAGGTATGTCGCCGGTGAAGTTGTTTGCGGATAGGACAAGGTCGGTGAGCCTGGGAGATAGACGGTGGATGTCATCGGGCAGGTTGCGGACGAAAAGGTTCTCGGCGAGGTTGAGATACTGGAGGTTGGAACAGTTGTAGAGGAAGGTGGGGAATGAGCCGGAGATGGAATTGTTGTAGAGATTTAGAGAGGTGAGATTTTTGAGGTCGCAGATGGAAGGAGGTAATTGTCCGGCTAAGTTCTGGTTCTGAAGGAAGATTCGGGAGACGGAGCCATGGGAGTTGCACTGTATCCCGGTCCAATTGCAGTGGCTGGTTGAGGTGGAGTTGTTCCAGGGGTCGAGTGATGGAGGATTGCCGAGGTCGCGCTTGATTAGAAGGAGAGTGCGTTTCTCTTCTTCATTTGATATGGGTTGGGATTTAGAATGAGGAAGGGCAACTGAGGAGAGGAAAAGCAGGAGGGAAAGGAAAGAGGCAGATTGCAGTCGGTGTTTTCCCGCCATATTTTGAGCGCAGTGGTTGGGTTGCTGTTTGGCTTCTAGTTTTTGTAACTGGTGTGATTTTTTATTCGATATTGCAAAGCTGTGGCTCCCATCGATTTCCTGGGTTGTCAGGCAGCTTTCCGCGACTCTAGAGAAGAAGAGAGGACGTCGGAAGTGACGATAACATATGGTCAAATGAGAAAGTGAGAACTTGGAATTTTCTTCTGCTTTGTAAAAAGATCCTTAACACGGAATTTCCCTTCCAGCAAATCCATTTTCTTTACGGTAGTGTTGCGGTCTCTAGTTCTATTTTTATAGGCAAACTTTTCAAATAAAAAAAAAATATTATGTAATGATGAGATTCCGGTAAGGGGTAGGGCTTTCAAAAAAATATCGTTGTTCGCAAACAGTTCGTGTTCAATTCGCCAGAGTGTTTTTGTTCGATTCGTTCGATAAACAAACGAAACGAACACGAACAATTTTTTTTCTTTCGGTTTGCTAAACGAACCAAACACGAATAGTGATGCGTTCGTTCGTGTTCGAATCGTTATTGTTCGAAAAAAAAAAAAATTAAATAAATAAATAAATAGATATAATTTATGATATTTTTAAAATAATTATATACTCAAAAAAATTAATATATTTTAAAATTTAAAACCTGTAAATTATAATGTAAAATAAATTAATAATAATAATATATTTATATACTATCTAGACTCTAATAATATAGATATTATATATTTATATAATATAAGGTATATAACTATTATAATATATTATATTATTATTTTTATATTATAATATTACAAAAGAAATGAAAAAATCCTTATAACCCTACCACCGAGCGAAAGCCCTAACCCGTTCGATTTTTCCCCTCTCTCTGCTCTGAGTTCTCTCTCCTCTCTAAATCACGCCGCTCTCTCCTCTCTAAAGCACGAGACCGCAGTCCGATCTTTCTCCTCTAGTTTCGGCTGCTCCTCTCAAGATCGTGAAAAGCTTGACTGCGAGAACCATCATTCTTCTATCAAAATCGCGAAAAGCTTCTCTCGATGAGAATTGTCTCAAAATCGCGAAAATCTTTGTCTCGGTGAGAGCTTAGGGTTGATTTTTTGTGTTCGTTCTCTAATCTCTACTTCTATTTTTCTTTGATAAAATGTATTTTTCCTCGGTGAGTCGGAGTTGGATCGACCCGGTATTCTTGTTTCGGTGTTCGTTACTTCGGTTGCTCGGTATTCTCGCTTGGTTGTTCGATATTCTTGCTTGGTTTTCTGTAATATTTCATATTTATCTTCAGGTAATCAGGTTTGCCTCTTAGCTTAAATTTTTAGAAAATTTTTTAGGTTAATTAAAATTTTTTGAGTGAAACCTAGGTTTTGAAGTCTCTGAAATTTCTGTATGAGGCCATGTAGGGCTCTTATGAGTTAATTTTTGTATTATTATTATTTTTTGCATAAAACGTATGTCAGATTATTATTATGTTGTTTTTGTTTCAAGAATATAGCTAATAATGCCTATTTTGCTGCTTGGGCAACATGAATGATTCCTATTCAATAAAATAGTCACAGGTTTGGATTGGTTAGTTTAGTGAGATGGATACTGATCATACTGCTAGTTGGGTCTGCTTTTAGGCGAGTCCAGTAAAAACACGACTCAATTCAGCTTAATTTCCTAGCCACTTTGTGGTCTTATGCTTTCTTAACATTTGTTTAAGGCTTTACCGGACTATAAACCATTTTATTCTGCATCACCCCTTCTTTTTCTTGCTGCTTATCTTGGCCGTCTTATTCCTTTCTCATTATATTTTTGGGTCATTTACATACGTAGCGCACAATTCTTATTTATTTACATCTCATACAAACTTTTCTATTTACTCACATCACTTAAATATGTAATATGACAAAATGTAGGACTATTATCACTTTTATAAAGTGAATACATCTTTTTCATGCATAGGTTTGAAGAACCAATGTGCTATGTAAATTTGAAATTTTAGTTGGGAGAAATGTTAATACATAAGAACTATGTGCTAGGTATGTAAATTTCCCAAGATTTTTTTTAACTCATTTGTAGTTTCTACAGTATGTTACTCACAAATAATTCTTCATTGTACGCTTTGCGACTTCTTTTGCTATGCTCCATAGTTTTATTTGGTCCAAAGTATCAAAAAATTTATCTCTAAATGTTTTATAATGCTTTGTCCAGTAATGTTATGTTTCTGAATTGTTAATACTTGCTTAGATCATGTCTTAAAACCTACGTTCATTGCTGACATAAGGAATTACTTTTTATCTTTATCTGTGTTTGCTATTTTATTTCATTTTGTTTGTTTTTGGGCATTTTCCTTGTGCTATGTTGGGAAATTTGATGTGTTTGTCTCCCTCTTGCTTTTTTTCTCCTTGGAGCTTTGCAATATTTTCTATGATACATCTATTAGATCTGACAAAGTAAGCATTATTCTGTCATTGTCTTTCAATTTATGTTGATGAGGATGTTTTCAATGGTTTAAGTGGTACCCTAGAATCATTAACTCATAATGCGTAGTATATGGATAAATTATTTTTAACAGGAATTTACATATGTTGCTCAATATTTTATGTATTTACATATCTCACACCTAAACTTTTATATGTACATACATAACACCTTGGTGTTGTTTTGAGCACATGTTTTGGAGACATTTAAAACATTATTTTAGGGTTGTTTTGAGCACTATTTTTGAGACACTAAAAGCATCATTTCAGGGCTATTTTGTCCACTGTTTTACAGATGTTAAAAACATCATTTTAGGGCTATTTTGAGCACTGTTTTGGAGACATTAAAAACATTGTTTTAGGGCTATTTTGGGGTAGTTATACTTGCTGTTGGGAGCCTTTAAAGTATTTTTTTGGCTTGTTATACTTGTTATTTGGAAACATGCTATTAACTAGTTGTTAGTGAATAGATGATATTTATTTGAGCAGACATGTTCACTCGTAAGAAATGAAGCATATATTGACATGAAAAATAATTTGTGACATTGCATAAATGGGTTAACAGCTATGTGATATATTATTAGTATATTTACATACATGTAACCTTACAATGGTTAATTTATCTACATATGGGCTATTTTGAGCACTATTTTGGAGACATTTTAAGGTTATTTTGTGCATTGTTTTACAGAAATTAAAAACATCATTTTAGGGCTGTTTTGAGCACTGTTTTAGAGACATTTAAAACATTGTTTTAGGGTTGTTCTGAGCACTATTTTTGTGACCCTAAAAGCATCATTTTAGGGTTGTTTTGTGCACTGTTTTACAGATTAAAAACATCACTTTAGGGCTGTTTTGAGCACTGTTTTGGAGACATTAAAATCATCGTTTTAGTGCTTTTTTTAGGGTACTTATACTTGCTGTTTGGAGCCTTTAAGGTGTTTTTTTGTCTTATTATACTTGCTGTTTGGAAATTTGCTATTAACAAGTTGTTAGTGAATAGAGTGAATCATATGTTTTGGAGCCTTTAAAGTCTTATTTTCGAGACATTAAATATTTAGTGCTTGTTTACACCATTTAGTGTTTTTTGTATATTACACACCATTGAATATTATATTTTTTTATAGATATTTATAATGTCAAATGTCGTTGAACATTGTCAATTTGTCTCAAATGACAAACAATTGCCACTTACAACATAAGAAGGAATTGATAGTTCTCAACCTATTGAACAAACTATTGAAAGCACTAGTACTGAAATACAAGGTACGAAAGACAGGAAGAGAAAATCAGCTGTTTGGGAGTATTTTATAGGTATTAAATCAAATTCAAAGGGGGTTGACGTATCATATGTTCAATGCATTTTTTGTGGGGTGAAAATCCTCAAACCAAAGTCAGGTACAACCTCGCAGCTTTTTATGCATGTTAAGGAATGTGCTAAGATAAAAGCGAAGAGTTAACAACAAGTTGACTTATCGGACAAGAGACAAAAGTTACTCAACTTCTTGCCTCCTGAAGTTCAGGGTGAATTAGAGATTCCTATTTTCTATGATCCTAAAATTTATGATCAACAACTTATAAGAGAGGTGATTGCAAAAATGATAATTGTGCATGAGTACCCATTCATGATGGTTGAACATACTTGGTTCAATATATTATTAAAAATGTTGAATCCTAACTTTCAAAGTGTTTCAAGAAACATAATAAAAATGATTGCATGAACGTTTACGAGTGCAAGAAAGATAAGCTTAAATTTTGCCTTAAATATGTTCATAGGGTTTCATTAACTGCTGTTTGTTGGACTTCAAATCAGATTATCGGATATATGTGCTTGACTGCCCATTACATTGATGAAACATGGAAGATAAGGAAGATTATTATTAACTTTATTGAATTAGAGCCTCCATATACCGACACTTACAATTGTGATGCTATTTGTGAGTGCCTGTTGGAGTGGAATCTTCAGGATAAAATATCTACAATTACTTTAGACAATGCGAGTAAAAATGACGTGGCTGCTACTTCTTTAAAAGTAAAGTTTCAATCACGTGGAAAACTGAACTTTTGTGGATTTTTTTTTCATGTCAAATGTTGCGCAGATATCATCAACATAATGATCCAAGATGGGCTAAAAGAGATTCATGAAATTATCCACAATATCAGAGAATCTGTTAAGTATTTGAAAAAATCCTTTGCAAGATTGCATAAATTTGTGGAAGTGGCAAAGCAATTTGGAGTTGTAACTACAAGGCCACTGTTCATTGATGTTTCTACTAGATGGAACTCAACTTTCAATATGTTGAAGTCCACATTCATTTACCGCAATGTTTTTAATCACTACGCAATTTGAGATGGTAACTACAAATGGTTGCATGTTGATTCAGAATGTGTTAAATATGAAAAAACAAGAAAATTTCTTTCAGTTTTCAATAATGTTACGAAGATGCTATCTGGCACTTTATATCCTACTTCCAATATATTTTTACCTGCAGTTTTGTATGTTAAGAAGATTTTGATGGAGGAGTCATTCTCAGAAGATGATTACATGAGGAATATGGCTACGAGTATGCAAATCAAATTCAATAAATATTGAGGGAAATGTAATCTTCTTATGTCTATTGCAACAATTTTGGATCTTAGACTAAAACTAAAATTTATTAGTTACACATTCCCAAAGATATACACACATGATGAGGTTAAGCAAAATCTTAAAACATTTCAAGATGTCATGTGGGAAATATATGCAGATTATGTTGTTGATTGCAATGTTTCTAATGAGGGGTTTCTAATGAGGGATCTTCATCTAGGGATCTTCATCTGCAATTGATCCTGCTAGTTCCTCAAGTCATTTTG